CATTAGGTTCTTCTATAGCCTTATGTTAAAATAGATCGTATCTGCGAGCCTATGGTACTATTTTTTAATTCTCATAAGCATTTAGACCTGTTTAACTTGGTTCTAATTTTTGTTTTTACAAGGCATTCTAAAGGAGCTCCTATTAAAATAGCTCCATCCATGTGCATTAAAAACCCAAGAACGTTTGAAAGAATATTCATGTACTTCATTACTGGGGAACCAGGTATTTTATTAATCCGTCACATGAAAGCTATAAAATGACAAAACTTGTGACGCTACATGTTTCGGTTAATTCAGATCGCCATCTTTGGACCTACATCCAAAACGTCATTTTCGTGCAATGTTACAGGGGTTTGAAACAGTTTGATTTTTAAAATTAGTCTACAATTTCAAGTTCTGGTCAAAATCGGACAATATTCGGCGATTTACATGAACTCCTAAAAGAGATTTTGCGCTTGGAAATGACTGAATGGTAAATTTGATTACCACGGTTACTTCAGTAAAAGATAAAACTCCAGCCAAAGCGACAGAGTTCTTACGACGCGGATGAATTTCCTAACTCATTTAATTCTGTTTTATACGCCTATTACATCATATACTCAATACCAGAGGGAAACACTTAAGACGTAAAATTAGAGACACAATTACTCAATTTCTTCGTGCCTTTTCACGGATGTATCTTTTCATTGTCACTAGTGGAAATCACTTCTCAGCCTCCCCTGCCATAATCAAGGCCGTACCCACCCGTCAAATACTTGAACACATTTTTAAATGTTTAGTGGTAAAACGTACTTTAAGAGACAGATTTTATGGTTAAGGAACCGATATTAGATAAGATTTCAGATTTTCACAGCCACGAGTACGAAGATGGCTGTTTTCCGAGATCATAGAAACTGACGGACGTTTCAGAAGTGTTTATTGTTTCCGTCACCAGTGTGATGATCATTAGTGAACATCTGCCAGACTACATGACGCAATATCCCAGAATAAAGCCATCTTAAAACCGAAATCAACAGGTTCTCTGCTTGAATACAGACGTGCCAATTCGAGCAGTCACTGGATCTGAAGTCGCGGACTGTGGACTCGAAAGCCGACGGAAGACAAATATGTCAGCAGCCTTGCTGTAACCCGATCCAAGCAGTCTTACTAAGGGAATAAACTATACATAGCATATAATCCTTTCTTATTTGACAGCTACCAACTGATCAAGATATATACTATCACTTCGGAACAGGTCACTGGGCTACGAATTCACACTCCAGTTTAATAAGATCCATTTTAATAATATCCTCTTACCTGCGTCTAGGTCTCCCGTACAATTTCCTTCTTGAGGGTTTGGACAAAAAATTGGTATGTATTTATAAATATGCGTACCGCATTCCCCACCCAATTCAATATGGACTTAGAATTTGAAGTTGGCAAATAATTAAGATTCTTATTGTTTAATTTTGTCCAATTCATTGTTTCTACATTTCTCATAAAGATTTAAAAGGAATAATAAAAACACAGACGCCAAAGGATAGTGAAAAGTTGAGTTTACGTTTCGCGTTCTGTAAAAAAAACAATCCTAGGCTGCAGTTCAAGCCTTACAAGTGTTTGACAAAGTTCCTTCCACGAAGCTAATGACACCTGAATGTCCGTTGGTTTCCGTTTTGTTTTACTGAAGATTTTTGCGGCTGATAAGTGAACATAAAAAAACGCGTCATAAGTACAATTATTCTGTTGAAGACAAGAAAACATTAGCCAAGTTTAAAAGCGACACTTTAGTTATAGACTTCAGAGTTACTTATGGATATTAAATTGATGCTAATTATAGAAGTAATTTTTTAACATATCGCCTACACAATAAAATATGTGAACAACAATGTACAGTCTCCTATTAGATAGACATTAATAAAAGACCTTTCTATATTTGCTACCAGCAGATACATTCCACTCCAGCGGCAAGAGTAAGGACTAGATATTCATTACTTTCACCTTAACGTAATGGTCATGGCAACGGCATGTTTAACGATTGTGGCTTGTATAAAGAATAACCGTAAACTTTAGTAACGAAACAAATAAGAATATAAACTACAGGTGAAATATATTCTCTCAGACACTACTCACAACAGCAGGAACAATGCGATACACACAACAGTAACCTAACTGGTACCGAAACTGATGACTTAGCATCGCTAATATCGAAGTCCGCCACTAAATCCGATCGTGAGCCAGTTTTATCCAACTCAAAGTCCCACAGTTCTTTGTCCAAATATTCTCCTAAGAACCTGCTTTCATGTGCCCTTAATCTGTGTACTACCTTCTTAACATCCGTCTTAATGCATTTTCGCTACACCTAAGCGTTGAGAGTTCCCGGTATCAAAGCGATATTTCCAAAACTTCATACTTAGTTTTTGTCTCGTTAATCCAGAATACATGTGGAACCCATTCTAAAATACTTGATTTTAATTCCCAACAATATAAAGGGACATGTCTAAGTAACAAAGTTCCTATTTAAGTAATATAGTCCAAGATGTTCAGTTACTTCACAAATATTATTCTTAGGTCCACATATTTTCCTGAGAACTTTGTTTCTTAATGCTTGTAACTTATGAAAATGGATATCTTCTGGGCTGATGTGCCGTGTAGTCTGGTATAAACACCTCTGAAAAACCGGTAAACTCCTACCAGATTACAAGGCGCTACAACCCAGAAGACAGTAAGCTCACGTCAAATTTGTCTTAAACTGGGATATAACTTTATTTCGCTATATATTTCACCATTTATATATCGTCGTCAGGTCATATATATATATGTCCTATTCACTTATATTTCAAAATTAAAGCTCTGTTAAAAAATATTATTGCATCGAATGTATTTTGGTAATGAATCTATTAATGGGGATTTTGTTAGTCTAAACATGTGTCGTTAAAATTTTAAATCATTATATCTTTTCTTCGAAATTTAGTCACTGATAGTCTGATGATAACGCTATGCCACATAAACGTATAGCTAAATTAAATTTCATTAATTTATAAACATAATTTGAATGGTTACAGAAAATAAGCGCCTAGAAACAACGTTCGTTGACTTTAATATGCTATCCCATGAATCCACGTACAACATGCAGTGATATTACAGATTTCGATTATGAAGGAAAATCAAAGGGAGCAGTCGTGGCCCACTTTAAGGTATTTTCTCAGTGTCTGTCTGAAGTAAAATCACGATCAACTTCAATCAGAATAGTTTGTCTCCAAAATACGAAGTCGAAGCCTCCCTGATATGACGCGGGGGTGTTGCTACACAGTAAAATTTTTCTCTTTATTTTCCGATAAAATTCAGTACCTACAAAAATAGGATATTTTTGTGATGAAATGATATATATTAATAAAATAATATTAAGAAAATCCTATTTTTGGTTAACAGACTTTGCAAAACAAATCCTGAAGCAAAATTGTATCCACTCAATTCGTCCTACGTACGAAACTGTTTTCAGTTATTGTAAAATAAAATTAATACGTGTCCTTCACAAAACTTTGAAATGATAAACGTTAGATTAAAACTTATTCATAACGGAATAGCAACAAATCAGAATCTTTCCTCCCTTTGGGCAGATTTCCATTTGCCACAGAGACCTGCAATTAAAAATTCTACTACAATAGAAATCGCATTCACAGTTAGGATATTTGGTGGCTGTGCCGCCACTCAGCAACCGATGCAGTGATAGCGCATAGCGGAACGCCGCCCAGTGTCGCCAGAAAAGTCGCCAAATATCCCCACTCTATTTATGATCCAAATTGCAAGATGAAAATTTATGCAATACACATTGGCTTACGCCTCACTGTTAACTAAGCAGTATATTTTTTTTAATTTTCTTCATTTCTACCCTTCATTTTTCTAACTTTTTCAGACGATTTTTAAATAGACACATATTTCAGAATGTCGGGAAAATTTCTTCGCTACATATATTCCTTCTTAAAAATCATTAAAAAATAATTCTGAAAAATTAGATGACCAGAGAGGAATTAGGCTTTTATTCAAGTTTATTATTTCCGTCAAAGTTCTGATTTTCCGCCTCAGTCCCTCTATTCTGTTGTTGTTGTTGTTCATTACAGGGAGCGTTGCATTATTTAATTCTACATTATATAATTCTCGCGACTATAAAATTGTCCTGATAAAGGCAGATATCAATTTAATCGTAGGCCCATTGAAGGGAAGTTTTACAACATGATATTTTATCATGCTTTCCATGCCACGGTTAAGTTTGAGTAACGTTCTCCCTCAGCTGGAAGTAGACTGAGGATCGACGAAATCCTTTCCGCTAGCTCTTCAAAATGCAAATAAGACCCTTGAGAATGGATCTTAATACTATACAGAGGATTTAACTTATATTCCTGCATCACTGATTGTCCATTTTCTAATGACTTATTTAACCAAATTTGTTACTGAATAAGAGAACTCGCTTAGATACTGATTTAGTATAATTAAATAATAATAAAATATTTGAAATCGTGTGCATTTTTAATTATGTACTTTCTGATTAACTATAAAATTAATTTTACTAAAATTATTTCGGTGTGATCTGATAATTTAAATAAAACGTCTACAGGATCTTACTACTCATTACCTTTTGTCAACTTAGAAAGCTAGCGATTTAACCCGTTGAAGACGTAGCTCGCATGTATGTAGTTTAAAAATGCGGTCCCTACAGCAAAGAAAAGACAACCCATAATCATTACAAAGATCAACTGCTTAATGCTGTTTGATGAAGCGACAACTGATTATTCTGAAAATCACACGAGACACAAATGCGAAATGCTGAATTACTGATTATTAATGCATGTAATAAATATAACAACGGACTTAGAGAGTTAAATAATTTCACAATGAATGCACAAAATGTATCACAAAATTTCATTTGTATTAAATCTCTTATCCGATAGTTAAACGCTTACAAGTTAGTCGTACACGAGACGAGTCTTAACATCCGTCAAAATATCCAACATTATCCATCCGGACTGGTGGACGACGCACGGCCGTCAACTTAAGCCAGTGGGTTGAGGAACGAATTACTAGTTCCTGGCTGCGGGATTCTGTCGCTGTAACTTTCTTCATTCCGGATTAAATCACTGTGCCTGTTTCCAGAAGACCCCGCAAATTCCTGTAACTGTTGGGCATGGGAAATTCGGCTACGTTTTGAATATATTCTTTACAATCACCGTCCACGATCAAAAGGAGTATTTAACATGGACGTCACAAACATTTTGCAGCAGGCTCGATTACTGTACCTGTTGGCTTGAATTTGAAAAATTGTACACATCACCTCTATATATTAATGGGAATAAAGTTAAGGTAGGCAGACCTATTTAAAAATGTGGTTCCTACTCACAAGAAAAGCATATTTCAGATACAAAGATCAGTCGAATTAAAACAGTAGTTGTTTAGTCCGAGAAACATCAATGAGCACAAAGCATCGTTTATGGATATTTAGGTAAATAGTACACATAGTTACCACAGAGGTGTAAAGAAGTTAACATAGAATCAGAACTGTTATGATAAGAATGTAAACACGTGAAAATATTTTCGTTATTTAAAAATTTGTGCTGGGTATGCGGGCCTGTTCTCAATGCCCTCAGTAATGTACCTAAAACGAACATTAAAATTTGTCCTCAAAGGTAATTCACATTTTTGGTTAGAATCCACACAACTTATACTTTAATTAGCAAATTTTAAATATTAAATTAAATAATGTGCAGCTGAATTAAAAATACAATTTCTAACTTACAGGATAGAGTTATAATAAAATCATTAAATAAATCCTCTGAATATTATTTAAAAATTTAATTTAATTCTAAAATGTTATTCTTATTTAAATAGTTTCCTTACTTTTTCAAGCACAAAAATTTTTCTTCGAAATAAAATATTTTGCAACAACCACTTTAAAAACGTGAATCGACTGACATGACAATGTTTAAATATAAACCCTGAAAACTTTTCGTAGTCATCACCATCCGGTATAAACGAGAAGGTAGACAACAAGAAACGCGTGGCATGAACATACAGTTAAAAGCCTACGTACTTAATAGTTTTAACCTGTAATAAAATAGACTTTAACTCCAGCACACTATCATTTCGGTTCAAGAAACCTCCGAGTTGTAGGCGCCACGATGAATAATAATATTTAGAGTTTACTTAGACCAAATACAGACACCGCATCACTGAATCCCGGCGCCACAACGAATTTCGAAGGGGTCATATGAAGGCGTGAGGAATTTATTTACCTCTAACACAGAATGATACTCAGTTCAAACGCTGTACAGTGTTTATGACAAATATCTGTTATTTCTAATTTGTTACCTATTTCATGGTTTTGTCACGTTATTAAGCGCTGAAGATATGATAATATATAAATAATGATAATAAGGAGTAAATGGAGAGCCGGAAAACATAAATTCATTAAAATCACATCGCCCTACGCCTACAGTACTAACGGATTTCAATGCTAAATGCGAAATTCTAATTCAAAATAATAGTATTAATATTTTTTCATGCTTAACTTTTACAGTTAATGCCCTCAGACATATTCCGATTCAGAATAAACTTCTGATATTCTAAATTCTTCTATATATTTTTGTAAGATTTCGTAAACGGTGAATCGGCATCTAGGAAGGCCTCTCTCCTCACACTGAAAAACGGGGGAATATCGAACCCACGATCCTAGTGTTATGGTAGACCAATACCATACATACATTAGACAGTGAGACCATCGTGTTCAGATTTTTTTATAATTATTGTTTTTTAATTATTATTAAACCTATAACCACATTATTAAATAATATTTTTTACAAATTTCTTATAATTGTAACACAGGATATGTTAATTTCTCATTACTTTGTAAATAAGTTTAATAATCTCAACAGATGTGTTACAAAGAACAGTTAAATGATCTGAAATAATGACAGGCAAACTCTATTGATATTATCTATGATGGGATATCTTTCTTTCTAGGACGACATCAATTAACTTTCGATTTTAGCATTGCCTTGTCATCCAAACCTCAGATTTTTAAAAAATTTATTCACAATATATTCAAGAAATACAGAAGTGATATTTTTTCCCCACCACATTACAGCCCCAAAACTTTACATCTCACTATTTTATAGCACGGTATACAACCACCCTTACATAATAATAACATCCCTTTTATCTGTCATTGCCGATATAAACTTTGTGCGTTCATTTTTTTAACGCGCGTTATTCGGGAAGCAACAGGCTTAATTATGAGATTGTATTCTTAGGTCACAAATTCTGATAAAACTAATTCACAGTCAGCTACAATAAATATAAAATGATAGTTTTTACTAAATTCTTTGTGCGTTATTTAAATCTACTAGAATTGATCCTCGGTATTCCAATACACATGTCAAATTCTGGATTTATTTGCCTACATAGGAAATTCGCGTTTTGTCAGTGGAATGGCAGGATATAGGTTGTCATTTTTTACAACATGGATCACTGGTCAGTCAACCTGTCTACGGAATTCGATGTTTCAATTTAACCCCCGGTTCCAACTGCGCACAATACGTGAAATGAAGGATAGAGCTTACCTTACTCTGGGTAGCGTAGTCGAGTGCCAGCATACAGTCATTGTAGCCGTTCTCCGTCTTGATGGTTGTGGACATTGGGTTCCCCGGGGCGCAGAATTGTCCCAGCTGACTCACAGAGTCGCGGTACCACGGGTACATCTTAGCGGCCTTATAGCGTCGGCGTAGTCTCAAAAGTTTTTTTTTCACCAATTCAAATCTGTGTTTGGCGGGAGTTTCGCGTGATGAAATGAGAATCGGGATTTTCACAGTTTGGTTCTTACCCTTTGCCTTCAACACTGCACATTTTAACACTTGTAACTATCTTGGCGTAAAGTTCGTTAGTCATTTATGCCTATAATTAAATACGTTTGCCCTAAATTAAGGGTTTAATTAAATGTCAACCTTTTCCAGTGTCACAATGCATTGTGTACTTTAGTTAGTACATTACGTGACGACTCAGGCTAATATATAACGACTATTACTCTGGAAATCACTCTCTACTAAGATAAATTAACGTTCAGTAAGAAACGGAATCTTCTCAAAACTTGAATTTCCAGTTTATAACCTATCAGAGTCTTACAGCTGTACTGTTATAACAACACTCAACACAACTGTTGAACAGTCTTCAGCTATCTATGTCACTTGCAATTCGAAACATAAATGAATATGTTGGTAAGTCATCTTTACAGCATAAAAGTCTTCTTTATGTTCTTACACTGGGATGGTAATATTTTTGATGTATTATGAACAGATAGGAAAGGTATCGAAATGTGGCTAAAAATATGTTCTGTAGTTAGGATTAAAATCGTAATTTCACATAAACACAAATTCAAGTAATTCCAAGATGGTATACCAATAACAGCGTTTTGTGTCTTCTGTCTTCAAACACGCACAATCACGAGCACAAAAAAGTTGTAAGCTCTGGTTTATATTACTGACAACACATGATCCATTTTTACCGTCGGTTTACGCCTGCTGTGAAGGTACTTTCTTTTTCTGATACCCTGATAGCACAAAAAACCGTTCTAGGGGTTGATGCAGTGGGATGGGGGTGAGGCGAAGGGGTGGATCCTTTGCGTCCACTTTGGTGGCAGTTTTTTTTTATTATTGTTCCTTGAGGCAAACCACGTCGTTTTTCTTCACGTTTTTATACAAGCGGTGAAAATAATTTCTTCTGTAGATCAGCTTCTGGTTTATCTTCTGATGTTGTGAAGAGTCGATGACGGTCTTTTACTTACTGACAGTTGTTTTTTACACTCGCCAATGCGTCCAGGATGCCTGACAACACAGTATTTATTAGTAATTTCGGTATCAGAGTCACTAACACGTCTAGCAGCACTGACGACGGCACAGAGGGAGGGGAGTGGACTGTTTTTCCAAGAAAGCTGCTGTTTTTGGAAGGTGGTTGTCTTAACTGCCGGCAACTTAACTTGGTCTGCCTGCTTCTATTCGAACACAGTTCGAAATACAAACAAGATGCACTGCACGCGACTTTCCCCCTCCTCCGCACTCCCCCTCCATTCTACTTACTGCTTCCACGCGACTTCGGCTGTTCTCGGTTCTTCCCCTTCGGCAATTGTCGTGTGCGGAACCGCTGCTGCTGTCTGCCTCCTCACCCCGGACCTTCAGCTGAAAACAAAGAAAACGTCATTTATTAATTACTGCAGTTTGATAGAAGTTCGGAAACTGACACTTCGCCTTTCAAAAACTACTAGAAGACAAGTAAAACAAACACCGAATTTAAATTTTAAGAGAATGGAATGAGTCCTGTTAGTGTTTTGGAACAAATAAGGCGAACACTGATAACACACTTTGGTAAAATAATGTCCAGATGTAAATATTTTAAATCTGAGCAGAAAATGACAAGACGTTTCGGAATGTGGTGACAGGAAAAAATTTTTTGAAAAGAAGAGACAGAAATGAGACCTTTGAGACCCTTTGGTAGACACACATGTTTAGTCAGAAACACGAGCTCGGTAACAGCTGAAGACGTTCGGCCTACGTCCTGCGTTATGAACCGATGGGAGAGAAAAGGTAAATGAGACAGGATTAACCCACTGAGATGACGGCCAGAGATTACAGAAGACTTTGGAAAGAGATTTATGAGGCAGTAAGTTAACTCTTTAAGGCAATAACACAATTATTAGGCCTACTTACCGATAATTATAATGAATATTGTTTGCGGTACATTAACTTTCACCAACTACGCTGTGTCTCGGACTTACAATTCGTTTATTATTTTATTTACGGTCACTGTATCAACTGTTGAGGTTTCAGAGGTGCGAGAATGATTATGAATGGCAAGACGGAACGTGTGAGGGCGGCCGTTGACTTCTGAAGGTCTTACGGCCTGAGGGCAACGCGAGGCTAGACATCTCCTCCTGCCAGTCCAGATTTGACTTTCCTTCAAATTCTTCATGCCTGTCTGTAACTTACAATGGAAACAGAAGGAAAACTACCGGTTTCCTTTAGTGCAGACAAAGCTCTTTCATTGTTTCTGTCCTCTTTTTTACGCCGATCTTCTGTTTGACTCTGTGACGTGTCTTGGGTGAGAAGCTGTCTGCAGTTAGGCATGTATATGCCCAAAACAGCACAGAATACCGGGGATATGCCGTGCATTTACGCGCCACGAGAGCTGGAACCCCGGGTACCAGTGTTACAGCGGCTCAATACGGTGAAATGTTTTGTTTTTTTGAGATTCACAAGGCGGCGAGTATGAAGATGTCTGTCTTCTGAGTTTATCTGCCGTATGGTCTGGTAGCAGTTTATCGAAGTTTTAGACTTGCTTGAAACCTCCAATATCAGGGCTATCACTTATTCATCGTCCTGATGATGGAGGCAGCAAGTACCTCTGAAACGTCAATAAACTTGAACCAGACTACACGGCGCAACATTGGTAATGTAGACTAAGTAACCCTCGCCTATAATTAAAGTTACTAAAATGTAATATAATTATTATTAAAATAAGAGAAATTATCAAGATAGGTTGTCTTGATAAATGATCTAGCTTGGTTATTTCTGTTTATATTTCTTCATTTATTTTTCGTTGTGTATAATATTCTTTCTATTTTGGGTTTGCCTGTATTTGGCTGTTATATTTAATACTGTACATGTATATATTTAGTTAATCTATTTGTGTAATATTTTTCATTATTATTTTATTATTATTGTATGTATTATCAGTGTTTGCTCGTTATTGGCTTCTTGCTGTTGGAAAAACACTTAAATAAGTAAATGAATTGAATTATTATTGGTCAGTATAAAACCCACTAATAGCAACCACTGCTAGGTCTACTATCATGATGATTAGTATTAATAGCAGTAGCCTAAGATTGCCACAAAAGTAAGTTTTTTCTCAGTTTCAAATTAATATTTATTGATAATCGGGTGAACATCGAAGAATGTGATCGAGCATATGCAATTATTGATCAGCAGAACGTGGTATTACATAGTGCCAAAAAGTAGTGTGATTTATGAAGAAAGCTGTTCATTATTGTTTATTCCTGGTGCTCTGAATGCATCTGGAGGAATCAAATAATCCCTCAAATCTCCATTTAAAACAGGGGAATGAAGAAACACAAATTTGTCTAACTCCTAGGGTCTATCAATACGTAACCCATCGGGGTCCATTTGTTCCTCGAGAACTTAAGAAAATATTCCTGGTGCTCTGAATGCATCTGGAGGAATCAAATAATCCCCCAAATCTCCAGTTAAAACAGGGGAATGAAGGAACACAAATTTGTCTAACTCCTAGGGTCTATCAATACGTAACCCATCGGGGTCCTTTTGTTCCTCGAGAACTTGAGAAAAGGAATTTAATTCAGTACTCAGTTCCTACAATATTTGACAGTTTCATTAAATATATCGCAAATCTATTACTACCACATAATTTCAAACTAATAGGTTAACTAGTGAGGATACTACAAGAATTTGGATGTTGAGTATAAATTTCCTTACAAAATTCAATGACATTACTACTGATTTTAAATCTGGGCGTTAAGAATACGTGCAAATTTTCGAGTTCTTTTATTAATTTTAGTTCAACTGAAAAACGTTAAAGGAAACGGTCCAGTGTATTATTTCCTAACAAATTATTTATATTTTAACACGTTTCGTTAAAGCAAAGAATTCGAAATTCACTTTTCTTTAACACAGACATTGTGAAACGAAATGTCGGTTTCTCATTTGAATTATGAACTTTTTATGATCTGCTGTAGATCTATTTAATCTTAACTTTAGTGAATCATGGTCAGAATTGTTGCAATATCTGAAGCAAAAGAAAAACTTGTCTAAACATTTAAACTGCTGCTTTTATAAAAAAAAGTGGATCATATGGCCCTTTTCAAGCACTTACTAAAGGAAATTAGCGAGAAGATTGAAGCTTTAAAAGCATTTATATTCGTAGCATTTCGTCACCAACTTCTACACCTTCACAAACGCTTCCGTCAAAGAAAATCGGTACCCAAAACGAAACTTGAAAAGTGCATTAAGAAGCAACATTTCTCTTTATTCACACAAATGTTGTGTAATGTGGAACGCCAGATTTGCGCAGCTTGAATTTCGAACCGTTTCATTCACCCAAACAAACAAAACCAAAAAATAAATAGAAACATCCTTTGAATATAAGAAGATCTAAGGATAGCTGATTACATTTGGCCAAAACAGATTTGCAGGGCGTAACAGGAAGCAGATATGCTAAAATGAAGAAGGCCTACCAGTGCGTAGCTTGTCTCATGTCGGCTACTCTGTGGAATTTTAACGACAGTATCGCAGACACTTCGTTCTAGTTTGATTCTTCTAAGCTTCTTTCTCTGATAAACCTGTACACAGTATCAGTACCTCCTAAAGTCCATGGCAGGTAATCTTCCTTAGGAGTCGATAGTCATCTCGTAAAAGAATTCCGTGTTTTATGGTAATCAAAGGTTCATCGTCTTTTTCACAACACCACATCGTCATTGACAAATGTCTGTGGCGAAAAGCTATAAGATAGTGTGTGTACCTTTGCCATTTTTCGAATACGGTTCAAATAAATTCCCAGTGGTGTCCTCTGCTAGCCAAAACATTAAATGCACAAATGAAAACGCTATAAAGCCACACCATCAGTGAAAATTTTAACTTGGTGGCCGATTTATAATGGCTGAGTCACTTTTAAAATTGTTTCCTGTAAAATTGTATTTTTGCACATTTGACATTTCACCACTCCTGTAAAATTGTATTTTTGCACATTTGGCTTTTCACCACAGATACCGCATTAGTCAATTAAAATTCACTATGCTTATTCTTAGTTAGATAACAGGTCTACATTACCCACGTGCTCTTAGATCTCCCAGTTGTCATCATTCACTGAAGCTTTGTAGTCAAAATTAAGCATTTATCTGCACGTCTTGAATTCTACGTTCCTGCCTATCCGATGTTTACCGATTTATATGAAGAGTCATTTGCAAATAACAAAGTTTGTCACGATGTAATTTTACGCATCTCCTGTTAATTTCATTCACAATCATACACAACAACACAAATGCTCGGGCAGTACAATTTCAACTAAATTTAAAAATAAGTGTTCTGGTTCCAAGAAAATAATCAGCATCTCAGTAAAATGTATGAACTGCGAAATAATGTCCATTTAAATAATTTCTGTTTATGACGAAAACAAAACGAAACAGAAGTAATTATTACTTACTGAACTTTTAAGCCGACGGTACATATACGCAATTACAATAATATTAAAAAAACAAACCTACAACCCAATTATAGCACGGCAAACGAAAGGTAACGCGTTATTTGAAACGGTGCCACTCCAGACTTGCAGGTATGCGGGCCATGCGCGTAGAATCTCCGACGGATTTACGTACAGGTTACTTTAATTGGGAGTTTCCGTATCTCTCCTCATTCTCTCCAGTCGGATGTCAAGACCTTACGTTCCAAATTCTCATTTACCTATTATTCATTAGCTTATAAAGTAAAGGTGACCCGCTGAACGCCATGTAGGCGCTTGGGGGGAGCGGCGATACAGCTCCTACTCATTCTTATACTCGACACAAGATGGGGGTGAGTGGTCAGCCCCGGTAATTTAAATAACATTGTTTATTTAAAATTGTTAAATGACAAAACCCGAAGTTAAATACGGTTGGTGTGTAAATGTGACAACTCAGATAAATGTAATGCTAAGAAACCAACTTTGCTGAACTTTACTCAAAGCTCCCCACAAGACAAGTGACCTTTGAACCACACACACTACACTTACATAGCATTGTTACAACAGTGGCCTTGGGTGTCATTGTTAGCCTTAATACAGTTGAATTTGTCATTCCCTAGGGTTCACTGCTGACGTCATCGCACGTGATGAGGCATAAAACTCTGAAGTGTCAGTAAAATACTCAAAAAGGTATAACTTTCCAATCTTGTTATTTATTATTCTGTAAAATTAAAACGTAAGTAATTTACGACAACTGAAGGTTGTACAAATACTGGCCCAGAATTATCATCGAAGACGTTTAAGAAAATAAGATTACAAATTTTGTATTCAGAAGGAACAAACCTCATTCACGGGGTAAGTAACAATACATCCTCTTTCGGATTACAGACAGAAAAATAGAAGAGCTGGGAGTGGAAATTCTTTCCAAGAAGAG